TTTATGAAGGGTTCGAAGAGTGGATTCCGAATATATAATCGTTACTTCGATTGCTTCAACGCTTTGCAAGAAATCTTAGAGAGAAGAAGAAGAAGAAGTTTAGAGAGAGAGATGAGAGGGAGAAGAGGCGGTGAAGAGGACGATAGGAGGTGATGGTTTGTTGTGTTTTTTTTATATCTTATATATATATATATATATATATAATTATTAAGAGTTTAGGATTTTGGCGGTTTTAACCCCTTAATAATTACCGACCGTTATTTAAATACGGTACAATTTGGGTAAGCTAACGAGAATGCGTTTTTAAAACTCGGGTCTTACAATTCTCCCCTCTTAAAAGAAGATTTCGTCCCCGAAATCGAATTTAGAGATAGGGACCTTACATCAGTTGAAGAATTCTGGGTACTCCCGCTGCATATGTTCTTCAGTTTCCCACGTCGCCTCACGTTCCGAGTGATTCTTCCAAAGAACTTTTACAAAAGGAATCACTCTCTTTCGTGTAACTCTCTCATCACGGTCAAGAATTGCCTCAGGCTCCTCGCGATAAGATAGATCAGGCTCTATATGCTCCAAAGGATATTCAATGACATGTAAGGGATGATAGTTGTATCCTCGCAACGAAGATACATGAAACACATTATGTACGTGGGACAATTGTGGCGGTAGAGCTAACTTGTAGGCCACAGCTCAGACCCTTTCCAGAATTTCAAAAGGACCAATATATCTCGGGCTGAGCTTCCCTTTGAGACCGAAACGTCTAATACTACGAGTTGGTGAAACTTTCAAGAAGACTTTATCACCCGATTGGAACTCGATAGGTCGTCGTCGCTTGTCGGCGTAGCTCTTTTGACGAGCCTGAGCCTTTTTCATCATTTGACATGCAATTTCGACCTTCTCGGTAGTAACTTGTACTAATTCTGGGCCTTCTAAAACACGTTCTCCAACTTCATTCCAACAAGTCGGTGTTCGACATTTTCGGCCATAAAGTGCTTCATACGGGGCCATGCCAATACTCGACTGCCAGCTATTATTATAGGAGAACTCGATTAGATACAAGTA